ACCATGCCCAGCTAATTTTTGTATTTTTGGTAGAGACGGGGTTTCACCATGTTGACCAGGACGGTCTCAATCTCTTGACCTCGTGATCCACCCACCTCGGCCTCCCAAAGTGCTGGGATTATAGGCGTGAGCCACCGCGCCCGGCCCGATATGCAAAGTTTTAGTGGTCTTGATAGATCAGACGAGCCACAATAGTCTCTTAAGCCAAAGCCTAATCCAGAAAGAGGCCCTAACTCTCTTTAATTCTGAGAAGGCTGAGAGAAATGAGGACGTTACAGAAGAAAAGTTGGAAGCTAGCGGAGGTTGGTTCATGAGATTTAGGAAAATAAACCATCTCTATAACATAAAAATGCAGGGTGTGGCAGCAATTGCTGATGTAGGGGCTGCAGCAAGTTATTTCAGAAGATTTAGCTAAGATAATTGATGATAGTGTCTTCACTAAACAACAGATTTTCAGTGTAGACAAAACAGCCTTATATTGGAAGGAGATGCCAGCTAGGGCTTTCATACATAGTAAGAAACCTGGCTTCAAAACTTCAAAGGACAGACTGATTCTTTTGTTAGGAGCTAATGTAGCTAGTGCCTTTAAGTTGAAACAAATGCTCTTTTACTATTATGAGAATCCTAAGACCCTTCAGATTTATGCTAAATCTACTCTGCCTGTGCTCTATTAGTGGATCAGCAAAGCCTGGATGATAGCACATCTGTATACAACAGGGTTTACTGAATTTCCTTTTCTTTTCTTTTTTTTTTTTTTTTTGAGACGGAGTTTCACTCATGTTACCCAGGCTGGAGTGCAATGGCGCGATCTCGGCTCACCGCAACCTCCGCCTCCTGGGTTCAGGCAATTCTCCTGTCTCAGCCTCCTGAGTAGCTGGGATTACAGGCACGCACCACCATGCCCAGCTAATTTTTTGTATTTTTAGTAGAGGCGGGGTTTCACTATGTTGACCAGGATGGTCTCGATCTCTTGACCTCGTGATCCACCCGCCTCGGCCTCCCAAAGTGCTGGGATTACAGGCTTGAGCCACCGCGCCCGGCCTTCTTTTCTTTTTTTTGATGCAGACTCTTGCTCTGTTGCCCAGGCTAGAGTACAGTGGCACGATCTTGGTTCACTGCAACCTCCACTTCCTGGGTTCAAGTGATTCTCCTGCCTCAGCCTCTAGAGTAGCTGGGGCTGCAGGTGTGTGTCACCACGCCTGGCTAATTTTTTTCGTATTTTTAGTAGACATGGGGTTTTACCATGTTAGCCAGGACAGTCTCAATTTTCTGATCTTGTGATCCACCTGCCTCAGCCTCCCAAAGTGCTGGGATTACAGGCGTGTGCCACTGCGCCCGGCTGGTTTTACTGAATATTTTTGGCCCACTGTTGAGACCTACTACTCAGAAAAATATTCCTTTCAAAATATTACTGCTCATTGACAATGTACGTAGTCATCCAAGAGCCCTAAGGGAGATGTATAGGGAGATTAATGTTGTTTTCATGGCTGCTAGCACAAGATTCATTCTGTAGCCCTTGGATGAAGGAGTGATTTTGACCTTCAAGTCTTATTATGTAAGAAATACAATTTGTAAGTCTATAACTGCCATAGATAGTGATTTCCTGGACAGATTAAGGCCAAATAAATTGAAAACCTTCTGGAAAGCATGTGCCATTATAGATGCCATGAAGAACATGGCGACACATGAGAGAAGGTCAAAATATCAACAGTAACAGGAGTTTGGAAGAAGTTGATTCCAGCCTTCATGGATGACGTTGAAGGAGTCAATACTTTAGTGGAGGAAGTAACTGCAGATGTGGTGGAAATAGCAAGAGAACTAGAATTAGAAGTGGGGTCTAAAATGTGACTGAATTGCTGCAGTCTCACGATAAAACATGAATGGATGATGACTTGCTTGTTGTGGATGAGCAAAGAAAGTAGTTTCTGGGCTGGGTGTGGTGACTTATGCCTGTAATCCCAACACTTGGGAGGCAGAGGCAGGTGTATCACTTGAGCCCAGGAGTTCGAGACCAGCCTGGGCAACATGACAAAAACTCATCTCTACTAAAAATACAAAAATGACCTGGGCATGGGTGGCATATGCCTGTAGTCCCAGCTATTCAGGGGACTGAGGCAGGAGAATCACCTGAGCTTTGGGAGGTCAAGACTGTAGTGAGCCATGATCACACCACTGCACTCCAGCCTGGGTGACAGAGTGGTACCCTGTCTCAAAAAATAAAAAAGAAAGCAGCTTCTGGAGATGGAATGTATTCCTGGTAAAGATGTTGTAAACATCGTTGAAACAACAACAGATTTGAATATTATATGAACTTAGTTGATATAGTAGTGGTATGGTTTGAGAGGATTGCTTCCAATTCTGAGTGAAAGTTCTGTGGTGGGCAAAGTGCTGTCAACTCCTGTACTGCAGAGAAATCTTTCAAGAAAGGAAGAGTCAACTGATGGAGGTAGCAAACTTCATCGTTGTCTTTTTTTTTTTTTTTTTGAGACGGAGTTTCGCTCTTGTTACCCAGGCTGGAGTGCAATGGCGCGATCTCGGCTCACCGCAACCTCCACCACCTGGGTTCAGGCAATTCTCCTGCCTCAGCCTCCTGAGTAGCTGGGATTACAGGCACACGCCACCATGCCCAGCTAATTTTTTGTATTTTTAGTAGAGACGGGGTTTCACCATGTTGACCAGGATGGTCTCGATCTCTTGACCTTGTGATCCACCCGCCTCGGCCTCCCAAAGTGCTGGGATTACAGGCTTGAGCCACCGCGCCTGGCTGTTGTCTTATTTTACAAAATTGCTACAAGCACCCCATCCTTCAGCAACTACCACTCTAATCAGTCAACAGCCATCTACATTGAGACAAGACCTTTCACCAGCAAAACAGTTGTTTTGTGGGGGACAGCTTTTGAGATGGAGTCTTGTTCTGTTGCTTAGGCTCAAGTGCAGTAGTGCGATCTCGGCACACTGCAACTTTCGCTTCCTGGATTCAAGCAATCCTCCTGCCTCAGCCTCCCAATTAGCTGGGACTACAGGTACATGTTACCATGCCTGGCCAATTTTTGTATTTTTAGTAGAGATGGGGTTTCTCCATGTTGGTCACGCTGGTCTCCAACTCCTGACCTCAGTTGATTGCCCGCCTCAGCCTCCCAAAGTGCTGGGATTATAGGCATGAGCCACTGTGCATGGCTGATTGTTAGCATTTTTTTAAGTTTTTATTTTTTTATTTTTTCTTTTTTCAAAGCCACTTTCCCTGCCCAAGGCAATAAAGTTTTAAACTTAAGGTATATACATTGTTTTTTTACACCTAATACTATTACACACTTAATAGACCATAGTATACTCTGAACATGACTTTTTTTTTTTTTTTTTTTTGAGACGGAGTCTTGCTCTGTCATCCAGGCTAGAGTGCAGTGGCTTGATCTTGGCTGACTGCAACCTTCATCTCCCAGGCTCAAGCAATTCTCATGCCCCAGCCTCATGAGTAGCTGGTTTACAGGCACACACCACCATGCCCAGCTAATTTTTGTATTTTTAGTAGAGACGTGGTTTCATCATGTTGGCCAGGCTCGTCTCGAACTTTTGGCCTCAAGTGATCTGCCCTCCTTGGCCTCCCAAAGTGCTGGGATTATAGACTTGAGCCACTACGCCCAGCCTAAACATAACATGTATGCACAAGGAAACCAAAAAAATTTGTGTGATTTGCTTTATTGCTATATTCATTTTCTTTCAGTTTAGAAATAGGAGTTGTAGTAACTCTTGAGGTATGCCTATAAATCTTTTTTAAAAAACTTAACGTAGTAGCAAAAGCATTTCCGCACATTGTCACAACTTCTTGGAAACTCACTGGTTTTTTTTTTTTTTTTTTTCTGAGGCAGAGTCTCACTCTGTTGCCCAGACTGGAGTGCAGTGGCGTGATCTCGGCTCATTGCAACCTCTGCCTCCTGGGTTCAAGTGATTCTCCGGCCTCAACCTCCTGAGTAGCTGGGATTATAGGTGCCCACTACCATTCCCTGCTAATTTTTGTATTTTTAGTAGAGATGGGGTTTCACCATGTTGACCAGGCTGGTCTTGAACTCCTGACCTCAGGCGATCCGCCTGCCTCAGCCTCCCAAAGTGCTGGGATTACACGCATAAGCCACCATGCCTGACTTGTCACTGGTTTTGAAGATAACATAAGATTTGTCATCTTGGCCGGGCGCGGTGGCTCAAGCCTGTAATCCCAGCACTTTGGGAGGCCGAGGCGGGTGGATCACGAGGTCAAGAGATCGAGACCATCCTGGTCAACTTGGTGAAACCCTGTCTCTACTAAAAATACAAAAAATCAGCAGGGCATGGTGGTGCGTGCCTGTAATCCCAGCTACTCAGGAGGCTGAGGCAGGAGAATTGCCTGAACCCAGGAGGCGGAGGTTGCGGTGAGCCGAGATCGCGCCATTGCACTCCAGCCTGGGTAACAAGAGCGAAACCCCGTCTCAAAAAAAAAAAAAAAAAAAAAAAAAGATTTGTCATCTTAATGATTTTTACATGTGTAGTTAAGTGGCATTAATTACATTCATTATATTATGCAACCATTACTGCTATCTGTTTCTAAAACTTTTTCATCACCCAAACTGAAACTCCGTAACCACTGACCAATAACTCATTTCCGCTGCTCCCAGCCCCTGCTGACCTCTAAATTACCTTCTGTCTTGATGAATTTGCCTGTTCTAGACATTTCATGTACTGTACGTGCACTCTTTGTCCTTTTGTCTCTGGCTTGTTCAGCATAATGTTGTCAAGGTTCATCCATGTTCATTCCTTTTTATGTCTGAGTAATAGTCCATATGGATAGACCATGTTTTGGAAAACATGGCTTTATTTATTTTTATTTTTATTTATTTATTTATTTGTTTTGATTTCTTTCACCCAGCTGCTTAAGGCAGGAAAACATGGCGTTTAATGGTTCCGCAACCCTCCTGTATGTAGAAGGATCCTGTTTTCTCAGCCCTTCTCCCCTTTTTGCCCTCACTCAGATAAGCCACGCAGCCGATACGCTGTTAACAACACTGGCGACCATGCTGATGACCAGGATGGCGATTCCAGGTAAGGGCTCTGTGGGCATTTCAGGATGGGGCTTGTCCTGGTCCTAGGCCTGGGCAAAGCCCCACCCTCCTGTTGACCTAGGTAGATACAGATATTTCCTCCCTGAGAAATCTGGTGTTTTTTTTTTTTCATTTAGTGGTTGCTTTCAGGTAGTGTAGAATGGAGGATTGCGTAGACAGTCTTGGACTTGCTGAATAATTTGGGTACCTGTTCCAGCTTCAGCCTTGTCTGGTGGGTAAAGCAGGTCTCAGAGAACAGATGAGGCCATGTCCATGTGAGATGTTTATCTCCTGTGAAAGAGACATAGAGGAAAGCAGACCCCTATGTTGTCTTTGGATCTAATTGCTTGAGCATGTACCCAGAGGTCATATGCAGGTGCGTGGGTGTAGCACAGTTTGGTCAGGTCCCTTCTGGGTGCCCAGGCTCAGGTGGTGAAACGGTCAGTGGGGCTTAGAGCTGGGACGGTGTGAACCTCGATGTTCTTTTAGGCACAGATGAAAGGTGGATCCCGTTCCTTCCTGTGTTTCCCCCTGCTCTCTCTGGGAGGCACTACCAGGGGAGAAACTTTAGAAATGACCACTTCTGCCTTCTGTTCATTTTGAAGCTTAGTACATGGTAGTATAGGCCCAGGTGAAGGAGGGAAGATCATGAGTTACCTTCCCTGGGTTCCCTTAAACACAGACAAGTCCTGTGTGGAGTAAAGGACTTGGCCTCCGCAGTCCCAGGAAAAAAAAACTAAGATCCCTATGCTGGGCCTTTGCTGTGCATTGAGTTAGTGCTGTTTCTCTGCAGTTCTCTGACAAGGCAGCACCACACCCACCATGACAATTTGCAGTTCTTTTTTAAAAAAAATTTATTGATTGTAGAGTTGGGGTCTTGCTTTGTTGCACAGGCTGGTCTTGAGCTCCTGGCCTCAAATGATCTTCCTTCATTGGCCTCCCAAATAACCGGGATTACATACATAAGCCACCATGCCTGACAACAATTTTCGGTTCTAAGAGTGTGATTTTTTTTTTTTTTTCTGAGATGGAGTCTTGCTCTTTTGCCAGGCTGGAGGGCAGTGGCACAGTCTCGGCTCACTGCAACCTCCATCTCCAGGATTTAAGTGGTTCCCCTGCCTTAGCCTCCTGAGTAGCTGGGACTACAAGCATGCGCCACCATGCCTGGCTAATTTTTTGTATTTTAGTAGAGACAGGGATTCACCATGGCCAGGATGGTCTTGATCTCCTGACCTCATGATCCACCTGCCTTGGTCTCTCAAAGTGCTGGGATTACAGACATGAGCCACCAAGCCCAGCCACGAGTATGATTTTTATCCTCTTCTGGGAGGATCTTGGGGCTTCTGGCATGTCTCTGAGGGGAGTGGGCTTTGGAAGAGGGACAGGGCTTGTTGGACACCCCAGTGGACCGTCATTTTGATGTAGAGGCCTGTGGTTTTCTTGTCCTTTAAATGTGATGGTGGAACAAATTCTGCCCAGAAGAAGGGCTGGCAGTACCTAATTCCTGCAGTTAGTTTTCAGAGACTTATGATAATATGACCATGAGGATATTTTCTAGGGAATTAATTTTATATTTAGCATAAGGAAGAGGTAAAACTCTGGGAGGTGTGTACCATGTGTCTCTACTACTGGTAGGGGCAGAAGCCATCAAGCCAGGTTTGAGAGAGAGCCTAGTGTCCATCAGAAAGGCTGGCGTGGGCATGTCCTTCTCCGTGTGGACACCGTCTTCCTGCTCCCTCCTTTGAAACTGTGAGCAGTACTTAGGCCATTACCGCAGAGAATGGGGAGCTACAGGGTTAGAGAAGAATTGATTTCTTTCATTTTCAAAATGCTCTGAAATCATTTTATAATTTTTTTTTTTTTTTAAGAGACAGGGTTTCTCCATGTTGGCCAGGCTGGTCTCGAACTCAGCCAACATGGAGAACCATGACCTCAGGTGATCGAACTCCTGGGCTTAAGTGATCCTTCCACCTTGGCCTACCAATGTGCTGGGAGCCACCGCACCCAGCTTCCATCTCTACCCTTTAACTCTCAGGTGACATCTTCGGGATATTGAATCAGGTGGCACTGCTACTATCCTCAAGCTTGGCCACTTCCATAGCAGTGGACCCAACTTGTGAGTGCACTTGGGCCTAGGCCAGATGGGATCCTCAGCCAGGCAGGTACTCTCCAGCTCACAACATTCAGGTCCTCCCACCAGAGACATATGAGGCTCTACCAGGGCCTCTGTTGATAGCTTTGCCTCTATTATTAGCTTTTGTGTTTAGAGCGCTACATTGATGTATTAGAAAGATGCACTCTCCTTTCTGTAGCTGAGGTTGACACACAAGATGGTAGGCATTTTTGTCTGCAGGCTTTGGCATCTCCCCCTGCCCAGCCATTGCATCCATGCTGCAGGGCAGTGTACAGGGGTGAGTGCAGGTTCAGGGTCATGTTCAGGTTCTGTCATGGCAGAGCTCTCAACTGTTTCCACTTCTTGATTCAGGTCTCCTTTCTCTTTCCATGATACATGGAAAACAGTATGTCCCAGAACACAAATCTCTGCAGAAGAAAATAGAATTTTTTGTTGTTGTTGAGATGGAGTTTCACTCTGTCGTCCAAGGCTTGCATGCAGTGGCGCCATCTTGGCTCACTGCAACCTCCACCTCCTGGGTTCAAGCTTTTCTCCTGCCTCAGCCTTCTGAGTAGCTGGGATTACAGGCACACAGCACCATGACCAGCAATTTTTTTTTTTTTTAGTAGAGACAGGATTTTACCACATTGTCAGTCTGCTCTCGAACTCCTGACCTCAAGCAATCCACCCACCTTGGCCTCCCAAAGTGCTGGGATTACAGGCATGAGCCACCACACGTGGCCAGAAAATAAGCTCTTAAACTCTTTATAAAAATCTTGGCTGGGTGCGGTGGCTCACACCTGTAATCGCAGCACTTTGGGAGGCCAAGGTGGGGGGATCACGAGGTCAGGAGTTTGAGACCAGCCTGGCCAACATGGTGAAACCCCGTCTCTACTAAAAATACAAAAATTAGCTGGGTATGGTGGCGCGTGCCTGTACTCCCAGCTACTTGGGAGGCTGAGGCAGGAGAATCACTTGAACTCAGGAGGCGGAGGTTGCAGGGAGCCAAGGTCATGCCACTGCGCTCCAGCCTGGGGACAGAGCAAGACTCTGTCTCAAAAAAAAAAAAAAAAAAAAAATCTCAACTGAGATAGTGCAGAAGCTTGGATGTTTTTTGACATATATATGGATCTACCATGACCACCTAATTGCTCCAGGCTTAGGGAATTCAGCTGTGCTGGCAGTCACAGTATCTCCAGAATTGGAGCTGATGGAATTCATATGACACACTACAGTTTTCAGAAGACTTTTGCTTCTGGGGTCTTATCTGATCCTATGTAGATGACTTCTCATCATGCATCATCAAACTATTAATGAAAGGATTAGCTTTAGGCTGTGCGTGGTGGCTCACTCCTGTAACCCCAGCACTGTGGGAGGCGGAGGCGGGAGGATTGCTTGAGCCCCGGAGTATTAGACCCGCCTGGGTAACATTGTGAGACCCCATCTCTTTTGAAGAAAAAAAAGATTAGGTACTTGTGCACAGGGATCCATCTCATACGTATGGTGCTGGGGTCTGACCCAGCAATTCCAGCCTTGTGCTTGCTTCTGAAAAACGACTTTCATTCCTGCCCAGCCTGTACTTCTGTGTGAGAATCAGACCTTTAGTGAGAAAACCCCATGGTAAGTGTTCAGCATGGGGAGTGTGTGATCCTGTTTCTTGTCTGGTAAGTTGCTCAGTCTTGATGCTCAAAAGTTAATGCTTAATGGTGGCACTTCTGCTAGACTTTAATACAGTTTTTATAAAACAGCCTTGTACCTTTTCATGGTTTTTAAAAAAGCGATATGTTTTTGTTTGGTCTTGATGGTCCTGTTCCCATTTCAGCGAGCCATGTCCTCCAACCGATGAGCAATTGGTTGCAGGGTAAGACCAAGACCTCTCCACCGTCTTTCTGTCTTGATTCCGGCTGCCTTCTCTTCTTGTAATTGTGCTTAATTCCTGGTTTCCCTCAATGTTGAAGAGTGACTGATGAGGCGCACAGGCGTGGACCTCACTGCACCAATTCCCCAGCCAATGCCCAAACTTCCTTACAACCCCTGCTTTTTCTCCACCCAGCCATTTAGCTATTTCACATTACCTGAGAGGCCAAGGCATGGGTTGGCTGGCATCAGGGAGACTTTTGGGACCAGGCATGTCACACAAGCCCCCTCTTCCTCCAGGTAGGCACAAGTAGTCCTGTGAGGGTGGTGGGCAAGCAGGAATGGAGTCTGTCATCTCCATAGTCCACTGCCACCTTAGAGAGACCTGTGACTGTTGCTCCTTGTTTTTATTTTTCTGAGGGGTTTTGTGGGGGCCTCTCCCAAGGGTTGGGGATTAGGTGTGATGCTCAGGCCTAGATGCTATCGAGTGTGCTTAGTAGAGGCAGAAGTGTTCTCATAGAATTGATAAGGTGTTTGTCCAAGAGGGCGTGGATCAGGCGAGACTCTTCCATTCCCCTGGACAGGGCATCTCATCTGGGCCTTGGAGGCACACACAGCGTCTGTGAACTTCCAGCAGGGAGCTTGGTTGGGGGAGCAGAGTTGAGCTCCCTTCCAGGATGTCTTCCCATCCTTTTTTTTGCCCAAGCTAGAGAGCATGCCCTGCTCCACAATGGCTTGGCAGTTATAGAAAGTCTTGGCCTGTTTTCTGGCTGGGCTGGTCCATCTTCCTAAATGTGTTTTTCTTTAATTTCCAGGTTATTCCAGGAATCTTCAGTTTTTGTAAGAGATGTTTTATTGTGTTGCAGTACATTTATTAGGCCTTTCACCATCAAAATGAAGGAAAAGGATTTTTGTAAATGTTGGAAGCCAAAAAACAAACATTGCCACTTGTTTGTGGTTCAGTTTGCTGTTTATAAGTTATGCCCCACCGTCAATTTCATGAATATACCTGTGTCTTTATGCATATTACATTACTAGACACATTGTACGAAGTATAAAGTCATTCAAGTGTTTTGTCATTATATGTATGTAATGTTAATGTGTGGGGAGTGGATTTCTCTGTGGGCAAGATTTGCTCAGATAAACAGAGTGGCTATCTGTCACCCTGCTGGCTGCCTCAGAGGGCTCCATGAACAGCCACTAAGTCAATGTGACCTTTTTTTTTTTTGAGACAGACTCTTGCTCTGTCACCAAAGCTGGAGTGCAATGGCACAATCTTGGCTCACTGCATCCTCTGCCTCCCGGGTTCAAGCGATTCTCCTGCCTCAGCCTCCGAAATAGCTGGGACTACAGGTGCTTACCAGCATGCCCAGCTAATGTTTGTATTTTTAATAGAGCTGGGGTTTCGCCATGTTGGCAGGCTGGTCTTGAACTCCTGATGTCAGGCGATCGCCTGCTTCGGCCTTCCAAAGTGCTGGGATTACAGGTGTGAGCCACCGTGCCCACCCCATGATGCTTTTTTTTTTTTCAGCTCACAGATTTCCAGTTGGCTCTCTCTGCAGATCCTGGCCTCTATCAGGGAAAGAGCCTTTTATTTGGCTGTCTCGAGGGTGCCTTGAAGTTTGTGTATTTATAGATGTGAACTGGGCTACCACCGCTTGCCTCTGAAAGTCTCAGAACCCATGTTACAGCCAAACTAAATTTGGTCACTGGACTGGTGCCTGAGGGCTGAGGCTGAGACATGGCTGTGACTCTTTATGACAACAGCAGTTTTTAGTGGAGATTTTGAAGTGTCACAGCAAGGGGCCTTTCTGGAGTGGTGGTGGTGATTTTTCTGTCTCTGTGTCCCTTGAGTCACTGGGTGGCAGAGTGGAGGGGCACTGTTCTGTGTGGATGTGAAGTGTTGGTACTGGGTCAGTTGCTAGAGCAGAAGTGTTTGGTGGTGTTTTAATACCTCAAACCTTCCTTCAACATTACCATGTCCCACAGATGGGAGTTATAGGACAGAGTGAGCCATTTAGGGTTTTTGAAGAAAGCATATTATGCCTGTGGTGTAAGATGCTGGAATCCTCCATCTCTGCAGGGTAGACCTGCAGTGGGTTGCTGAGGACTTGGTTGTGGGTCCTGCATTTCCCAGGATATCTCTGTTAAGATTGATTTCAGAAGGTCCAGTACACCCTGACTGGATGAGAGGCTGTTTCCATATGGCACAAATAGGTTTGACTAAACTTTCGTATGTGGTTGGTTTGTGGGCCTAGGGTGACTTCGTATGGTTAGAGGGTTGTGCCAGTTCCAGAGGAAGGCTGGAAAACAGCATGAGCCCCACAGCCCATGACAGACTTGGAAAGAATCCTGTAGCTACTTGCCATTTGCTATTAGAGCTGAGGTTAGTCTCCCCAACCCCGTCACCAAGAGGGCCTCCAGGAAAGAAGCATGAGCAGGGATGCATACTAGAATGTTTGTCCTTGGCCAGGTGCAGTGGCTCACACCTGTAATCCCAGCACTTTGGGTGGCTGAGGTGGGCAGATCACAAGATCAGGTGTTTGAGACCAGCCTGGCCAGCATGGTAAAACCCCTTCTCTACTAAAAAAAAAAACACAACAAATTAGTCAGCCATGGTGGTGCGCACCTGTAATCCCAGCTACTCGGGAGGCTGAGGCAGGAGAATCACTTGAGCCCAGGAGGCAGAGGTTGCAGTGAGCCGAGATCATACCACTGCACTCCAGCCTAGGCGACAGAGTGAGACTGTGTCTCAGAAAAAGAAAAGTCTGCCCTCAATGGTCTCTTCCAGGACCTTAGGGGTCTCCCTGCCCAGGGACAGAATATGGCCCTGGGGAGGCCAGAGCTGCCTTCCCCAAGACAGTGTACCCTCCTGACCTGGATACTAGAAATATTTTTCCTGGGTGGAGATATACATGTGGGACTTCTCTCCTTCTTGGTCCAGATCAGAGGTAGTACATTTGTGTTTCTAGAGTGGAGACCCTCAGAGCCCTGGGCTCCAAGATAAGAGTCAGCACCACCCACAGCACCCCTGCAGGTGATGATCCCTTATCTGGATCCCCCCAGGCAGGAGGCATCAGCATTGCCAGTAAGGAGACATAGGGCACAGATGACCTTGAAAAGGGATGCCCTCTCACTCACACTGCAGCTCTTCCCACTTCTCCATGGCACCCAGTCCTGTGCAACCCTGTATTTGTGCCATTTGGAAATAGCTGTGATCACCGTGGGCCTGCACATCTTGCACAAAGTTTCCTCCCTGATAAAAACTGGAAAGTTTAAGTGTTTGGGATAAGGAAAGGGCTGGGCAGCCATGCCATGAAGGAAGTCGGTGCTCTGCACGTGTCACTGTGCACTGTCCCCTTACCCTCCACCAGGCTCTGTGGGTGAAGGCTGGGGTGCTGGGAGTTGAAGGTGCAGCCCAGCAAACCTGAGTGTAATTGGGAGAGGTCCCCTCTGCCTCTGAGCCTTAAAGAGCAGCTCCTCAGGGCAGTGCTGTTTCCAGCTGATGCTCCCTTTGAAAGCAAACTGCAACTGTTTCTCTCCTGAATTTCATAGAGCATGCCAACAAATGACAGCATGTGCCTTCAGTCTGTGCTTCTCATGCCTTTTACCTTGTAATTCTGGTGATCTTACATCCCTAACCTCTGGGATTGCTACAGAAGGGCAACTGTTAGTAGCTTACATCAGCAGTCCGGGCAGAGCAACTCCATGAAGGTGCAGTTTACTGAGATCCTTCTGCTCTGGGGCCAGCAGGGCATGATGCTGTGATACTTTGTTAACATATTTTTATTCTACCTCTTTTAAAATTTAAGGTTTTCAGATGTTATTCTGGCAACAATTTTGGCAACCAAGTCTGAAATGTGTGGCCAAAAATTTGAACTGAAGATTGATAATGTACGGTTTGTTGGGCACCCAACACTGCTACAGCATGCTCTGGGGCAGGTATGGCCCTCCTTGGGCAGATGGGGCTCTCTCTGGGCAGATGGGACTCTCCTTGGGCAGATGTGGTTCTCCCTGGGCGTGCACAGACCCTCTGGGCAGCTGTGGCTCTCCCTGAGCTGGCAGGCCTGGCCCACTCTGGCTCTGGGGGGGCTCAGGACTGAGGCTGATAACCAGCTCTGGTGAAGGTAACTATTGGGCAAGAGACATGATTAGACACCTGCTATGAACTGTGCATCTTTATAAACCCTGAGAGTCCAGTGGAAAAAGAGACAGGTGTTTTTGCCCTTGAAGACAGGTGCTTCAGTCCCTGCCCCTAGTTTTTACAGTCTGCATTCTAGGTCTCTACTGTCTGTGGCCCTCCTCTTTATACATAGGGTGTTTCCAGGGGAGGCCAAGATGATGAGTTAACTAGCATCTGTCAAACCTTTGACTTTTCTACAGTGTGGTGCAAGCATTTCTTCTTATTAAAAGATACTCTAGTAGCTAATATTCGTAGTATTTAGCACTTACTATTGTGCTAAACCCTCTATATGTGTTCTCTGATGAATGGGTGTCACAGCACTGAGAAGTTCATCTTGATAGCAAGATGAAGGGAACTTGTACACCAGAGCCTGCCAGTCAGTTCTCTGCAGATAGGCAGAATCAGTGACATTACTCAGATTCTGAAGGGTTCAAAATAACACAGTAACACAGGATCTAGCTACATTTATATAGATCCAGCAATTGTGTGAGGTTCTGTGATGTTATTTGTGAACCTCCATGAAAGGAGTTTCTGAGGCAGTCCTGTGCCTGTCCCCGTGGACCACGCCCTCGATGGAGGGGAGAGTTGGCAGCCTGCCTGGGGTCACACCCTGTAGACAGGAAGGGCAGGCAGGGGTAAGGGATTAAGGGATGGGTGGCGGGCTGCCTGGGGCTCTGACTCCCCCTGGTGGCAAAACTTGTAGCTGGCTCTGAAGAGTTCCTTCCTGCCCCTTGGAATGCTTCCCTTGAGTGCCCTGGTCCTTGTGAAGCTGGCTGGATGCCAGAACCGGGAGCACAGAGATAAAGACTTGGTTCTGGAGTGAGGCCGGCTGCCCTGCTTAGGGTTCGGTTGGCCCTGAACATTGTCCTGTTCCTAAATTGTTCTGAGTGTGCATCATACTTAGCAGAGACAACCTGGGTAGATGCAATGGGAGTGTGGGTCTGGGTCCTCCACCCATTTATGTCCCTCTCCATCCTGTCCCCCCTGGGTGTTTTCAGTCACTTCTGTTAGCTGGGGCGGTCAGGGCACTGACCTTCCCACTCTGGTCATAGTTGTGACTTGTGTCCGTGCAGTAGGCACGCCTCCAGAGCAAAGGCATTCATTGCTTTTTCAAGACCTTGGTGTTGTATTCTGGGGACTTTTGCCATGCCTGACATAGAATATCTCTAAACAGCTTTCCTTAGAAAGTCATCTCAATTAATTAGAATTATGCATCTTTTACAGGTCTCCAAAACAGATCCCTCCCCGAAGAGGGAAGCACCTACTATGATTCTTTTTAATGTGGTGTTTGCACTGAGGGTGAGTGTTTATGTAAATGGTTAAGATCAGGAAAGGGGGCTGGGGAGCAGCAGCTCTTTTCCACGGGTATGTCATTGACTCGGAGCTTGGACTGCAGTGGGCATGGTGCTGGCCCTCCTGGGGTGCAGACAGACTGCACTTCATTGTTTCTCTTTTTGTTTTAGTAAAATACATGGAACGCTATTAGTCATTTTAAAGTGTATGCATCAGTGGTATCTGGTACATTCATGTTGTATACCATCACCCTTACCTACATCCAGAACATTTTCACCACCCCAGAAGGAAACTTCATATCCATTAGCAGTTATTCTCTCTCTCTCTCTTTTTTTTTTTGGAGACAGAGTCTCACTGTGTCACCCAGGCTGGAGTGCGGCAGCACATACTTGGCTCATTGCAGTCTTCACCTCCCAGACTCAAGTGAGTCTCATGACTCAGCCTCCGGAGTAGCTGGGATTACAGGTGTGCACCACCACGCCTGTCTAATTTTTGTATTTTTAGTAGAGACAGGGTGTCACCATGTTGGCAACGCTGGTCTTGAAATTTGACCTCAGGTGATCCGCCCAGAGTTCTGGGATTACAGGCATGAGCCACTGCACCCAGCCCCTGCTAATTTTTATATTTTTTGTAGAGATGAGTTTTCACCTTATTGTCGAGGCTGATCTTGAACTCTTGGGCTCGAACGATCTTCCCTCCTCCACTACCATAAGTGCTGGGATTCCAGGTGTGAGCCACCACACCCAGCTGGAGCTTAATTTTTAAGGCAGGCCTACCTTGTTGATAAATAAGGAACTGCAAATTAAAAGAAAATGATTTGTTAATGGCCCTTGGGGCATAGAGTTCTGGGAGTTTGTCACTTTCTGCCTGATATACTTTTGTAGTGTTTGCATTTTCTTTTCTTTTTTTTTTAGTAAAAGGTGAAAGATTTCATTTTGAAGAGAAACTAGAGTATAGTGTTTGCATTTTTATAATATCTTTGTATTTCTTACATAATTACATAATAAAAAGACCCATAAAGAAAAATGAATTAAGTAAAAAACAAGCGGCTGAGCGCGGTGGCTCACGCCTGTAATCCCAGCACTTTGGGAGGCTGAGGCGGGTGGATCACCTAAGGTCAGGAGCCGGAGACCAGCCTGGCCAACATGGTGAAACGCTGCCTCCACTAAAAATATAAAAATTAGCTGAGCGTGATGGCATGTGCCTGTAATCCCAACTACTCTGGAGGCTGAGGCAGGAGAATTACTTAAACTCGGGAGGCAGAGGTTTCAGTGAGCCAAGATCGCACCACTGCACTCCACCTGGGCAACAAGAGTGAGGCTCCATCTCAAAAAAAAAAAAAAAAAAAAAAAAAGCCACAGGCAAATGAATAAACAAAATCCATGACGAATATTATCTACTTTCAACACTGATAACCCCTATGGGACGGTTGGTGAGAAGCAGCTACAGCACCACTCAGGATGCTGCAGGCAGGCCCTCATCTCTGGGGAGCAGTGTTTGACAGCAGAGCACATGATGCCCTTAGATCTAGCAATCCCACTGTTAGGAGTATTATTAAAAAAAAAAGCAGCTTTTACAATTGCATAAAGATTTTCTCCCTGGCTTGTGTGGTGATTATTATACACTGGTTCATTCTCTTGCCGTTGAGGGTGAGGAATGGAGATGAGACCAGAACCTGAAGAAATATGGACTGATAATGGCTGGGTAAAAGCAACAGGAGCTGGGTGCGGTGGCTCACACCTGTAATCCCAGCACTTTGGGAGGCCAAGGCAGGCAGATCACCTGAGGTTGGGAGTTTGAGACCAGCCTAACCAACATGGAGAAACCCTGTCTCTGCTAAAAATAAAAACTTAGCTGGATGTGGTGGCACATGCCTGTAATCCCAGCTACTCAGGAGGCTGAGGCAGGAGAATCACTTGAATCCGGGAGGCGGAGGTTGCGGTGAGCTGAGATAGCGCCATTGCACTCAAGCCTGGGCAACAAAAGCAAAACTCCATCTGAAAAAAAAATTTAAAAAACGCAAAACTAGCCAGGTATAATTGTGCATGCCTGTAATCCCAGCTACTTGGGAGGCTGAGGGAGAAGAATCACTGGAACCCGGGAGGCAGAGGTTGCGGAAAGCTGAGATCATGCTATTGTACTCCAGCCTGGGCAACAAGAGTGAAACTCCATCTCAAAAAAAAAAAAAAAAAAAAGCAACAGGAAAAAAGATAGTCTAGGACTATGGCAAGCTGTGATATTGATGAGTGGGAGAAATTTTGATAATGTAAAGAGTTTGTATTTTTGGGTGGACAAGTTTTTTTCTTTCTTTTTGGTAGTCATTTTTAAATGTACACTTTTGGCCAGGCACAGTGGCTCACTCCTGTAATCCTACCACTTTTAGAGGCCAAGGCCGGTAGATCACTTGAGCCCAGAAGTTTGAGACCAGCCTGGGCAAAACCCTGTCCCTACAAAAATACAAAATTAGCCAGGTGTGTTGATGTGCCTCTGTAGTCCCAGCTACTTGGGAGGCTGAGGTGGGAGGATCACCTGAGCCTGGAAGGTCAAGGTGGCAGTGAGCAGTAATCATACCACTGCACTCCAGCTTGAGCAACAGAGCAAGACCCTGAAAAAAAAATGTACTTTTTTTTTAACTTTGAAAAATTTTAAGCCGTGAACTAGAGAGAGCAGACCAACAAACCTTATGTGCCTGTCTCAGGTTCCTTTATACCCTGGCTCCATGTATTTCCTTCCCTCTATCTATTTCAAGGCAAGTCTGGGACGTTATGTCTCTTCATCCCTATATACTTCAGAAAGTATCTGTATAAAATATGGGCACTTATTTTTGGTCATGATACCCTTTGTACATCTGAAAAAATTTGCTGTAATAAGTTGGTATCAACTAGTACCTGGTTCATTGAAACTTTTCCTGATTGCGAAAGTATGTTCACAGCTGGTCTGTCTGAACCAGGATGCAAACCCAGCCCAGCTAGTGCATGTGGTGTCTTTACATCTGCCAGTCCAGAGGTTTCCCTCCCTTTGTTCCATCAAATGTTCCACATTTGGACTCATCTCATTGCGCACTCAGACTTGCTCTTTGTCCGTTTTTCCTGCAAACTAGAAGTTAACTCTGAAGCCTTGGTTCTATTTGAGTACAAGTTTTGGGGATGAGAAAGTCTCATGGGTGATGCCTTAGACCAGTCAGTTCTTTTTCTGGCAAGGAATGTTGCCTTGTTGTAAGTCCGCCCAGGTAGGAGTTCTGTTTGTAAACATGGGATCTGCTGAGAATATAGAGAATTTCTTTAGCTCTAGGTGAAGAAAGTATTTACTGTCTGGGTCAGGCTTTGCCCCTGAAGCCTGGCTGTGAACACTTTGGGCATAGCCTTACCTCTCAGATAAACAGGAGTGGGAGGTGGCACCAGAAGTTGTAATCGGCAGCACCATTCACCCCTTTCCCTTGTCCCACCTCCACCCCACAGGATGACTTAGCAGTCCTCTTGGCCTCCAGAAGCACTGAGTCATGGTGGACCCAGTTATCTGCTCCCTTCAGTGTTTTCATAGACCCCCACAGCTGCATGCCTCCGCCCTTGGCTTAGGCAGATGTGCTTGCCTGGCTGACTGTGATCCTGATAGGTTCCAGAGGGGCGAGGCCCCCTCTTGTTCCTAAGGGTCTCCTGTACTGTTCTCTGACCCAGTCAACATGGCTGCAGAAGGAGTGCTGAGGCAGAGATGTGGACCTGGAGCCTGTGGGTTTTCTCGTCAACCATTGTCATTTCTGCTGGGAAGAGCTCATCCTTGAGGACCAAAAGTATTCAGTGAACAATTAGCATGGTGCCTCTGTTTTTGTACTCTGCACCCCTACAGTAACGTGGCCTGTTGTGACTGAATTCTTACGTATTGTAGACTGGTTCTGCCTACCCGTAGTCAGCAGTACAGTGGTGACCACAGGCACTACCAGGGTCTTTGCTTAGGACAGGCTCTGTTCTGAGTTTGTTACATGTCTCACTAATTTCTTCCATTCAGTCCTTGGTGAGGGATGCACCATTGTTATTCTTTCTTAAGAACAACAAGGCCCCCATAGAGCACCAGGCATTTCCAGAGCCATCTCTATGCTACTATTCAGGCAGCCACTCTTAAGAATAGAGGATGGGGGCTGGCAGCCAGCATTTCTGTGGATGGGCCCTGGAGGGGACTCAGGAAAGGAGCAGCAGCGGCTTCTGTAGAGGAGTCTGGGAAGCCTGCAGAGGAGTAGAGATGGTTTCTTTCATGGTTTGAGTTTTTGCTCTGCACATGTATTGGCTCTATTTAAAGTGTGTCCAGCTGTGTCCCTGTGTACACATTTGAGTCTGTATATGGTCTCTCTCCCACAGGCCAACGCAGACCCATCGGTGATAAACTGTCTGCACAACCTGTCCCGTCGTATTGCCACTGTGCTGCAGCACGAGGAGCGCCGCTGCCAGTACCTCACCCGGGAGGCCAAGCTGATCCTGGCGCTCCAGGATGAGGTGTCCGCCATGGCTGATGGTGAGTACAGGAGGGCGTGGTGGGCATGGGCCTGGGCTGGCTAGTGGCCTCTCTGCAGTGCAGACCTCCGTGAAGGGACTGCCAGTCAGTGCCAATGGTGCAGACGTTGGCGGGGCCTTATCCACCCGAACACCAGGAGAGCAGTCAGGTTTTGGTGAGCTGGGCATTGAAAATGAAGTCCTCACAACAGCTTCACAAGGCAGGGTCCATGATCATCCCCATTTTGCAGATGTGGAAACTAAGGCTCAGAAAAGGTACATGATCTTCCCACTGGGCTGTTTGTGTCTGGGGAGCACAGGAAGACTCCCAGGGGCAGGTTTGTAGATGAACTTTTCCTGGATGGATGTTCTGAAATAGATTTCCTGACCAGAAATGTTGTCTCTTCCCATGTACTGTTGCATGATCACCATTCACATAGGTCAGGCACCTCTGCTTAGTGCTGGTCCTGTGGGACATGTTGAAGGAAGTATTTATTCCTTGGGGCAGGAAAGGGTGTTAGAAATATCCCGCTGAGTGGAGGTGGGCAGTTTCCAGTTCTTTGCTTTTGGCCACATTGAAGGAGGACCTAATTGGGTTATCAGCTAACCAATTTAAAAAAATAATTTTTGCACATAGAACATTGCATGATTTTTGGCCTACTGTAAAGATTTTGAAACATGGAGGGAAACCTGTAATAGACTCTTCCTGTCTCCATTTTCTTTGGCAAGCATGTCCATAACAAAAGAGAATTAAGAACAAAACTGAAATCAGACCTAGTAGTTCTAGCAATAAGTAAAAGTAGCAATTGCCATACGTAAACGAACAATAAAAAAAGAACAGCCTCTCTGACTCAAGTGCAGTAAAAAAAAAATTTTTTTTTTTTGAGTTGCAGTCTCGCTTTGTCACCTAGTCTGGAGTGCATGGTGTGATCTCGGCTCACTGCAACCTCTGCCTCCTGAGTTCAAGCAATTCGCCCGCGTCAGCCTCCCGAGTAGCTGGGATTATAGGCGCCTACCACCATGCCCAGCTAATTTTTACATTTCTAGTAGAGACTGGGTTTCACCATCTTGGCCAGGTTGGTCTTGAACTCCTGACTTCAGGTGATCCACCTGCCTTGGCCTCCCAAAGTGCTGGGATTATAGGCGTGAGCCACCGAGCCTGGCTGCATTTTCAGTAAAAATTCACTTGTGGCTGGGCACGGTGGCTCATGCCTGTATGCCCAGCATTTAGGGAGGTGGAGGCAGGTGGATTGCTTCAGCTCAGGAGTTCGAGACCAGTGTGGGCAACATGGTGAAATCCTGTCTCTACAAAAAAAGCCACAAAAATTAGCCAGGTGTGGTCATGTGTGCCTGTCCAGATACTCGGGATGTTGAGGTGGGAGAATCACCTGAGCCCTGGGATGCGGGGGATGCAGAGGTTGCAGTGAGCCAAGATTGTACCACTGCACTCCAGCATGAGGGACAGAGCGAGACCCTGTCTCAGAAAACAAAACCAAACAAAAAACTTATGTTTGACATTTATTTGTCAAAATTTATAATATATTTCTGTTTTGGCCAATTATGTATTAATTATAATTGTGATAATAATCTAAACATTTTGTTTTTTTGAGCATTATCTTTTTAGAGTCTGTGACTTTATCACAGGAAGTAAAAATTATTTTAATTTAAGTCTGTATTTTGTTAGAAATTTATGAAAAAGGATGAATAAAAGACTTTTTGGCTGGATGTGGTAGCTGACACCTGTAATCCTAGCACTTGGGGAGCCTAAGGCGGGGGATCACTTGAGCCTAGGAGTTTGATACCAGCCTGGGCCACATAGCGAGTACCCCATCTCTATAAGAAACTAAAAAATTAGCAGGTCTAGTGGTACACATATGTGGTCCCAGCTAGGTGAGAGTGTCGCATGAGCCTGGGAAATTAAGACTGAAGTGAGCTATGATTGCTCCACTGCATACCAGCTCAGGTGCCAGAGCAAGACCTTGTCTTAAAAAAAAGCTTTTCAGCCATAAAAGTAAATTGCATTAGCACTTGAGGGAGAGGAGTAGGACATGGCATGCAAATACCTGATAACAGAGAGAGAGGGTGGGGCCTGCTGGTCAGAGAGAAGCCTGCAAGGGAGCAGTGAAATGGCTTCCCCTGCAATGCCTGTGACTACAAGGTTGGAAGGGGCAGTGGTGAAGTTTAAATACAAGTAATCCATGCAATCATGGTTGAACAAATCAGCCTAAGTCTAATTTTAGTTTACATGATGCACAGATTTTATTAAAAAAAAGAAGTGGGGAGTTTCCAGAGGTTTGGTTTAAAGTTACCTAAAATTACCTTTGAGGTAAACTTGTTTTTATTTTTATTTATTTATTTATTTTTTTTGAGACGGAGTTTCGCTCTTGTTGCCCAGGCTGGAGTGCAATGGCGCGATCTCGGTTCACTGCAACCTCCGCCTCCTGGGTTCAGGCAATTCTCCTGCCTCAGCCTCCTGAGTAGCTGGGATTACAGGCATGTGCCACCATGCCCAGCTAATTTTTTGTATTTTTAGTAGAGACGGGGTTTCACTATGTTGACCAGGATGGTCTCGATCTCTTGACCTCGTGATCCACCCGCCTCAGCCTCCCAAAGTGCTGGGATTACAGGTGTGAGCCACCGTGCCCGGCCAAACTTGTTTTTAAAGGTTTTCCCTATTCTACCTTATAAAAGTTTCTGGCCGGGTGCGGTGGCTCACACCTGTAATCCCAGCACTTTGGGAGGCTGAGGTGGGTGAATCACCTGAGGTCAGGAGTTCAAGAACAGCCTGGACAACATGGTGAAACCCCATCTCTACTAAAAATACAAAATTAGCCAGGTGTAGTGGCCCGCTCCTATAATCCCAGCTACTTGGGAGGCTGGGGCAGGAGAATTGGCTTGAACCTGGGAGGCGAAGGTTTCAGTGACCTGAGATCACGCCATTGCACTCCAGCCTGGGCAGAAAGGAGCGAAACTCCGTCTCAACAAGAAAAGTTTCCTTACTTTGAGAGCTGCAAATCTTATGTTATGATTCTTGTAGGAAATGAAGGTCCTCAGTCCCCATTCCATCACATCCTGCCCAAGTGCAAGCTGGCCAGGGACCTTAAGGAAGCTTACGACAGGTAAGACAGGTGGGCGTGTGCAGGGTCTGGTGGGTTTTCTTTTTTGTGTGGAGATGATAGATCACAGGAAAGAAAGACACAAGACACAGAGAGAAGAATTCACCTGGGCCTGGGGGACCACTACTACCAAGGCGTGGAGTGCAGTATTGGCCCTGAATGCCTGGACGTGCTATTTATTGTATACAAGGCAGAGGGCAGGGTAAGGAGAGTGAATTATCTGATGTGATTGATAGGGTCAAGCAAATCACATGCTTACAGTACAGGGGCCCCTCCCTTTCAGGTAGCTGCTGCAAGGAGGGGAGGCACAGGCGCCAGCGTGTTTCCATGCACTTACCAGAAAGATCAAAGGCTTTTAGGGTTCCTCTATTCTTACTTCTCACAACTTCTAAGAACTTAAAAAGAGCACCGGGTGAGAAAGCGGAACACGAAAGTGGACAAGGATGGTGACCATTAGAGCACAGTCCACAGAGATGCATTTAAGCCCCTGGATGTCTGCAGGCAGACCTGGCTAATGTCAGGCTTTCCTCAAGAGTCAGGCAGAGCAGAGTGTTCTCTGAACTCCCCCAGTGAAAGGGAAACTCCACGGCCTGCCAAGTATCGGGCGCCTTCCCAGGCACTGGCGTTACCACAAGGCCTGCCTGCTAAGTAACGGGCACCCTTCCAGGCACTGGCATGACCACAAGGCTCTCACACTCACCTCCTGATCACTTCTCACAATGTCCCTTCAGTTCCTAATTATGTTTCACCCGATTGTTTATACTATAAGACTAAAATGATTCTACGCTATAATACTAAAGCAAAGATTAATAAAGAATCATGATTTAATAAGATTGATTATATAATTGATGATGTGATTATTCCTAATATATTTGTATCATTACTAAAACTAAGTAATCAGTTATTTATTATACCGGGACAGCTTGTGCCTTCAATCTCTTGCCTTGGCAGCTGGGCAGCTTTCTTCCCACAAGCGTGCTTATTAACCTTCTCATGGGCCAGCCTGCCTGGGCCTGAGGAGCAGCGTCAGCAGGTAGGGCTCCCTGGAACTGACCACTGTTCTCCTGGGGTGTAAGCATCAGGGTTTCCTGAGGTTGGGGCAGAAGAGGACTGGGAAGGGATGGTCATGTGGCTGCTCTTGAAAGCAGTGACCTTGGTGGCTGTTTTTAATTTATTATTTATTTATTTATTTATTTATTTTTTTTGAGACGGAGTTTCACTCATGTTACCCAGGCTGGAGTGCAATGGCGCGATCTCGGCTCACCGCAACCTCCGCCTCCTGGGTTCAGGCAATTCTCCTGCCTCAGCCTCCTGAGTAGCTGGGATTACAGGCACGTGCCACCATGCCCAGCTAATTTTTTGTATTTTTAGTAGAGACGGGGTTTCACCGTGTTGACCAGGATGGTCTCGATCTCTTGACCTCGTGATCCACCCGCCTCCGACCTCCCAAAGTGCTGGGATTACAGGCTTGAGCCACCGCGCCCGGCCTATTTTTTATTTTTATTTTTTTTTTGAGATGGAGTTTCACTTTTGCTACCTTGGCTGGAGTGCAATGGCACAATCTCGGTTCACTGCAACCTCCGCCTCCCAGGTTAAAGCTATTTTCCTGTCTCAGTCTCCTGTGTAGCTGGGATTACAGGCGTGTACCACCATGCCCGGCTAATTTTGTATTTTTTATAGAGATGGGGTTTCTTCCATGATGGTCAGGCCGGTCTCAAACTCCCAACCTCAGGTGATCTGCCCGCCTCGGCCTCCCAGAGTGCTAGGATTATGGGCATGAGCCACCGTACCCAGCTGGTGGCCACTTTTAAAATGCCAGCCCCTTCGCTGAATAGCATGCACTGTGCTAGAACTACCATCTCCAGGCTCCTCTTAAAACAGAAAATGAAGGCCGGGCGCGGTGGCTCAAGCCTGTAATCCCAGCACTTTGGGAGGCCGAGGCGGGTGGATCACGAGATCAAGAGATCGAGACCATCCTGGTCAACATGGTGAAACCCCGTCTCTACTAAAAATACAAAAAATTAGCTGGGCATGGTGGCGCGTGCCTGTAATCCCAGCTACTCAGGAGGCTGAGACAAGAGAATTGCCTGAACCCAGGAGGCGGAGGTTGTGGTGAGCCGAGATCGTGCCATTGCACTCCAGCCTGGGTAACAAGAGCGAAACTCCGTCTCAAAAAAAAAAAAAAAAACAAACAGAAAATGAGCCTGAAATTATATATGAGAGTCTGAAAGTGGTTATTTTTATTTTTATTTTTTGAGATGGAGTCTTATCGCTTCTCGGCCTTTTGGCTAAGATCAAGTGTGAGATGGAGTCTTGCTCTGTCACCCAGGCTGGAGTGCAGTGGCGCAATCTTGGCTCAGTGCAACCTCTGCCTCCTGGGTTCAAGCCATTCTCCTGCCTCACCCTCCTGAGTAGTTGGGATTATAGGTGCACACCACCACACCGAGCTAATTTTTGTAGAGACGGGGTTTATCCATGTTGGTCAGGCTGGTCTCGAACTCCTGACCTCATGATCTGCCTGCCTCGGCCTCCCAAAGTGTTAGGATTACAGGCGTGAGCCACCGAATGGATGTCACTGACCCCACTTCACTCATAAGGAAATTGAGGCTCAGTGGGTGGAGCTGGGGCCAGTTTTCTCCTCCTTGCTCTGAAGGAGTTGGGGTTGTGACACTGAATGTTTGAGGGCAGTAAGCCTTTAGGATACCTCACTGTTCTGATTATATTGGGTGAGCATCACCTCTATTAAATGTGGACAAGCAGGCTGGGCGTGTTAGCTCAAGTCTGTAATCACAGCACTTTGGGAGGCCAAGGTGGGCGGATTGCTTAAGGTCAGAAGTTCAAGATCAGCCTGGGTAACAATGTTAGACCCCCATTTCTACAAAAAAATTTTTAAAATATCTGAGTGCGGTGGCACAAGCTTGCAGTCCTACCTACTCAGGAGGCTGAGGTGGGAGAGTCACTTGAGCCTTGGAAATCAAGATTACCGTGAGCCCTGGCTGTACACTGTACTCTGGCCTGGGCAACATGGCAAGAGCCCATATCAAAAAAAAAAAGCAAAAAAAAAAAAAAAAGACTTTTAAATTATTTCTTTGGCTGCCCAGTTAGCCTCAACTGCCCCCATCATTGAATTGGTTCCAGCCTTCCAGTGTTAACCATTTACCTGTGTTATTTTGTACGTGCACCTCTGTATCTGTCAGATAAATTGCTGAAAGCATTATGAATGGGGAAAATGGCATTTGTAATGTTGTGTTCCTTCTCAGGGGTTTGTATCTCTGTCTGTACTCCCACTGGCAGCACACAAGATGCCTCTTACCCCCAGCTTTCTCAACATTGAGTCTCATGAAATTTTGGATTTTAGCCAGAATAATATGTGGGGAATGGTGTCTTTTTGTAGCTTTACTGTAATGCATTGATGCATCTCTTCATGTTTGGACCGCCTGTCTTTTCTGTGAGCTCTCTGCTCAGGTCCCTTGTTCATTCTTCTTCTGGGAAATCTAAGTTCTTAAAGACAGGAGAGTGATTTGTCTTTTGTGACATAAGTTGCAACTAGTATTTGTTTTTTTCTTGGTGACCCTGGGGTCTGAGCCTCCCAGGTGTGAGAGAACTTCAGCCCTTGCCAGGTGATTGCTTTGTTTTCTGACCCCTTCTGTGTTGGAGAATGGGACCTTTGTGGTCATGTAGTCTGACCTTGTCTTTTAATCTTTGTTATCATGCTAATGTTTTCTCTGTGTTGAGAGAATTACTACCGCTTGGTCTTGAATTGCCTGGTATCCAGTCTCTTCCTTGGAAATTGTTCTTTTACTCTGAGTGTGTGCCTCAACTAGGATTAGATTACAAGCAAAAATCAGGCCAATTTGGAATTAAAAACCAAACTGGTCTGATGGTATGTGCCTGTAATCCCAGCTAACAGGAGAGGCCAAGGTTGGGGGATCACTTGAGCCCAGGAGTTTGAGCTTCTAGTATGCTCTGTGTCGGTGCCAGCAACATAGTGAGACCCTGTCTCTTAGGAATTTTTTAAAATAAAAAACAAGGCATTGACTTTATATTTCTTTTCCTTTCTGTTTTTTTTTTTTTTTTTTAATAAAAAGATGGGGTTTTGCCCTGTTGCCAAGGCTGGTCTTGAACTCCTGAGCTCAGGAAATCCACCCACCTTGGCCTCCCAAAGTGCTAGGATTACAGGCGTGAGCCACTGCCCCTGGCCAACTCTATATTTCTAAAGGAAGAATGGACTATGATTTCTTAGGTTTGAATTGTGCTGGGAAGTTGAAAGGAGACAAGACCTTGGACTGCCTGTTGTATGATCTTCGGGCCTCAAGAGTGTCTCAGAACTTGAGGCAACCCAGCGCCACCTAGTGGATATTAGAGGAGGACAGGAATTTGAGTTTTGGTGAAAAAGGCTCCTAAGCTATGGTTCAGCACTTAGCATTCTTCGCCTGACCTACACGTTCTGTTTGTTAGTGCCCAGGATCACATTTCCTAACAGTCTTGGGTCCTGGAGCTTGCCCCAGCGATGCTGGGAACTCTGTTTCTCTGACAGGAGTCCAGGCGTTAGTATCCTCTCTGTACTCCATCCTGTGTGGCACTGGCATGGCTCTGCAGCCACCCAGGAGCCCCTCTGGCCTGTGGCCCCTCCTCTGTCCCCTTCCCACCTGATCCCACCAGGTCTGTGGTTGGCGTTGAGGGCCTGGTCTGCTGCTGCTTACTCTTCTGCACTAAGAAGAGGAGACTGAGTTTCCATTACTGATCAGGTGACATAGGACACAGAGCCCCCTTTCTCCTGATGGTGACTTCTTGTCACATCTGGGAAAATCTCAGAACAGAACTGAAAGATCAGAAGCTGTGAGACTTAATGAGGTTGGAGATTGGGGTGGGATTTTTCAAGGGAATTGTTCCTGGTTGCTACTTTTTTTTTTTTTTTTTTTTTTTTTTAATTTGAGGCAGAGTCTCACTGTTGCCAGGCTGCAGTGTTGCAATCTTGGCTCACTGAAACATCTGCCTCCCAG